TAAATGTAGAGGTAATTAACATAGGCTCTACTTAAGGTGGTGCACCCATAAGTGTAGAGTAATCCAGTGATTCTGTAGGTGGGGCTAACAACAATAAGCTGAACTTAACCCTAGACACCTTTAAGTATAGTGTACCCAGTGATTTCTGTAGGTAGAACATGCAAACATAGGCTATACTTAAGGTTGGACACCTATATGTGTGGTGCAAGCAAGTGATTCTTAAACTAGAGGTAACTAATGTAGGCTGCACTTAACGTGGCGTAACCATAAGTGTAGTGTAACGCAGTGATTCTGTACATAGAACTTACAAACATAGGCAGAACTTTAGGTGGGGCATCCATAAGTCTAGTGTAATCTACTGATTCTGTAAGAAGACCTAACAATCATACGCTGCACTTGAGGCTGGACCCCAATAAGTGTAGTGGAACCCAGTGATTGTGAAGGTACAGTTAATAGACAGAGGCTTGAAGTAAGGTTGGACACCCATACTTGTAGTGTAGTTCATGGATTCTGAAGCTAGTGCTTACAAGCATAGGCTGCAATTAAGGCTGGACACCCACAAGTGAAGTGAAGCCCGGTGATTCTGAAGGTAGAGGTAACCAACTTAGGCTGCACTTAAGGTGGCACATCCATAAGTGTAGTGTAACCCAGTTATTCTGTAGTTGGAGCTAACAACAATAAGCTAAACTTAACGTTGGACACCCATAAGTGTGGTGTCAGCAAGTGATTGTGAAACTGGAAGTAACCAACAAAGGCTGCCCTTAAGGTGGCACATCCATAACAATAGTGTAACCCAGTGATTCCCTAGGTAGAGGAAAGGAACTTGGGCTGCACTTAGGGTGGCGCACCCATAAGTGTAGAATAACCTAGTTAGTCAGTAGGTGGAGCTAACAACAATAGCCTAAACTTAACGTTAGACACCCATAAGTGTGATGTCAGCAAGTGATTTTGAAATTGGGGGTAAACAACATAGGCTGCACTTAAGGTGGCGCACCCCAAACTCTAGTGTAACCCACTGATTAACTGTAGGTAGAGGTAACCAACATAGGCTCCACTTAGGGTGGAGCATCGTTGAGTCTAGCGCCCAGCAGTCTAATGTGATCCACTGATTGTGTAAGTACCATTAACAATAATAGGCTGCACTTAAGGCTGGACACCCATAAGAGAAGTGAAACTCAGTGATTCTAAAAAAAAAGGTAACCAACATAGGCTCTACTAAAGGTGGTGCACACATAAGTGTAGTGTAACCCAGTGATTCTGTACGTAGGGCTCATAAACATAGGTTTTAATTAAGGTTGGACACCCATACGTGTAGTGTAGTTCAATGATTCTAAAGGTACAGATAACCAGCATGGGCTGCACTGATGGCCTGACACCCATAAGTAAAGTGAAACCTAGTTATTCTGAGGGTAGACGTCATCAGCATAGGCCCTACTTAAGGTGCTGCACTCATAACTGTAGTGTAACCCAGTGATTCTCTAGTTAGAGGTAACCAGGGTTAGCCGCACTTAAGGTGGCTTACCCATAAGAGTAGTGTTTCTTAGTGCTTCTGTGGGTAGAGCTAAGAACCATTAGGCTACATTTAAGGTGGAACACCCTTAAGTGTAGTGTAACCTTGTGGTTCTGTACCTCCAGCAAACAAAAATGAGCTGCACTTGAAGTAGCTCACCCATAAGTGTAGTGTATTTCTGTTATTCTGCAAGTAGACGTAACAAACATACGCTGCACTTACGGATGGATACTTATAAGTAAAGTGTAACCCAGTGATTCTGAAGGTGGAGCAAATTAACATAGGCTGCATCTAAGGTGGCGCACCCATAAATGTAGTGAAACCGAGTAACTCTTTAGGTAGAACATACAAACATAGGCTGCACTTAAGGTTGGACACCCATATGTGTGGTGTCAGGAAGTGATTCTGAAACTGCAGGTAACCAACCTTAGCTGCACTTAAGGTGGCGCACCCATAACTATAGTGTAACCCAGTGATTCTCAAGGTAGAGGTAACCAACATCGGCTGCACTTAATGTGGATCATCGAGAAATGTAGTGTAACCCAGTTATTCTGTAAGAAAAGCTAACAACAATAGGCTAAACTTAATGTTAGTCACCCATACTTGTAGTGTACCCCAGTGATTCTGTGAGTAGAGCTACCAAACATAGGCTGCGCTTTAAGTTGGACACCCATATGTGTGGTGTAACCCAGTCATTCTGAAAACAGAGGTAACCAATACAATCTGCTCTTAAGGTGACGTTCCCATTAGTATTGTGTAACTTATTGATTCTGTAGTGTGATCCAGTGATTCTTTAAGTAGACAAGCAATAAAAGGCTGCTCTTAACGCTGGACACCTCCAAGTTAAGTAAAACCCAGTGAATCTAAAGGTTAGGGGTAACCAACAAAGGTTCTGTTTAAGGTGACGCACCAATAACTGAAGTGTAACCCGGTGATTCTCTACGTAGAGGTAACCAACATAGGCTGCACTTAAGGTGGCGCTTCCATAAG